ACATCCAAAATTTGCTGGTAGGTAAATATTTAGTGTGTGCATTCTACAAGACGTTAGAGGTCAGGATGCTGACCTGCTCCTCAACAAGGCCAGTAGCCAGACTACACAAAAGCAACCAAAATCACACTGTTGCACCACTCTCACACTCGTCACACGCATTATACAGCCCATACATCTATTCAAAGCAGCAGAACAAAGTTTCAATCTACCTTCACTGAAAACATAAATAGAATGAACAGATGTATTGTTGTGAAGTTTTCTGGTTTTATTTTTAAATGTCGTTTACATAAGCACTTTCTTTGGAGCTCTCCCCCCACCCCTTCTTTCAGGTTTCTTACTCATAGGTTCTGAAATGTCCTATACTTAAGGAAACAAATATTCAACACTGAGAAATTAACAAAAAGGTCTTAAGAGAATTAGTGCATGGATCAGGTTACGTATGTTCATCAACCAGTAAGTCAGAAGGTAACTTGTTACTACATATGAATTACAATGTTTTTTAATAGCTTATCACTTTTTTCTCTTTATGTTACTATTGCTAAAGATATTCACTTGTTTTGATCTAAGAGTCACCTCTTTGTAAGCTGACTTGTGATGACCTGATCCTGCCTTAGTACTCTTAAAGCCTAATATAAATAGAGAAAATTACATATACAGATGATTCAGCATTATCTTAGCCTAACGTAAAAGCTTCCACTGGTTTTAATGGTAGTTGAACTGGGCCTCCAGTTTATTAAACCAATTGTTAGAAGCTTTTACTTAAAAACCTTGTCATATGCTACTTCCATGATCAGCCTTGCCCACTTTCTATCACACGCATTTTTCAGTTTAACACTGACATCAGCCCTGCTTTGAGCAGGAGGCCGGAGCAAACAACTACCAAAGCCTGGTTTCTTCCAACCCAAATCATACTCAGGTCCTACCACATGCGGTTTACAAAACCCAAAACTGCTCATACATCCATTACCTGCCAGTCATGCCAGCTCCTTGCCACATGACATTCTGACTCCAAGTCTGAAGCTACATAAATCAACCTATCCATTCACCATCGTAAAAGTTCACCCAAAGAAATTTTTACAGTGCACAGCATCTTCTTTCCTTCTGTTTCTTCCAATCTGACCTGGCTCACTACACCATACACAGACCACAATATGCTTTTACCCAATCTTATCCACACATGGGCATCTATAACCTCCAAATTTCACGATAACACAAACCAGTATCTTCATTATAAGAATGCAGAGTACTTAAATTTCTTGTCAATGACAAGAAGAGGAAAGAAAAAAAAAAGAAAAAATATTGCATAGTAACCACGATTAGAAACAAGTATGCCTCTACTAAATAAAAAGGACCAAACACTAGTAACAAAACATTACCTTCACAAATGCAATGCATCATGCTTGCTTTCACTGTAATAACACCTATTTAACATACAAGCATTTTTCTAACCATTTATTTTCCTGACATGTTATACATAAGCTCATTTACCCGTTTATAATGACAAATTCAAGAACCACTATTGAAGGCATCAAGTAATCATTCTTTCTTATCTGCCTTTTTTTAAATATATGGCAGAAGAGACAAAAATCATAATGCACAGCTTTAACTGAGAAGGAAAAAAAAAAAAGCCCCCACATAGCACTCACTACATGATCTAAAAGACACTGTCAACAAGGCAGCATTTTAACAAAAATTTTCTATATGTCCATCAGAATTTCTCATTGACCCATACACTCTAGTACCTCTATAAAGTTCCTGGTATCCTCCACAATCCTGGTCTGGACATCCAGCTTCTATATATTACAAGCTGTAAGGACTACAGGAGAGGTTAACTCCTGAAAACACACACTCAGATTTCATTCTTGATGAAAAACCTCAGATGCATCAAAACAATTCTGTGCATCCTCTCCATCCCCAAAGAAAACAAAACGCAAGAGGGACATACAAACATCAGTGGCAGCCTAGTTTCCCTGCACACACATCAAGCCATTGCTACAGTTTCTATATTCAAGGAATGTTTAACCACCTTAGGGAGAAACGGACAGCAGCCCTCCCTCTACAGAAAAGAGAAGTGGACCATTTTGTGATCAACACACTGTGGCAACCTCAGCTACTAACAAAGCAAATTAAAGACCTCAGTCTGCTACCATCCCCCACCACTATCTGAGCTAAAAGACTAAACATCACTATGATAAATTACATGATTTTTTATATATATATACATACACATATACACACACATATATACTACCAACAACCACAAGAGGGCCAATGTTGTAGAGACCTTATAATTTAAAACACTTAATTCTTCTTCACTCCATTCATAACTTACATACACCTTGAATACACTCGCTAAGATTTCTCAGTTCTGACAATTTTCAAGCAAGATCATTTGTGCAAACACAAATGTTCAGGAGTTGACTGGAACAGAGGAAAGGAGAGGCTAAGCTGGGGTGAAAAGTGACTTTGTTCCTGTAAAACCAAATACCATCACCCCTGCAGCATTTTACACACCTAGACTTTCAAATGTCACTCTCTGAATTAAACTAAATGGATGAGAAATCCACACAAACAGAGTCCCTTTCAACACAAATGCTTCTTCAGTAACAGAGTTCCCCCTTATCAGAGCATCCAATGGTAAGCTATGTAGAAAGGAGAAGGCAGATCAGGCCTGTGCATTTACACTTGTGAGCAGAAATTTTATTGCTCTGCCCCTTAGCTCTATCTATAATCATGAATTAAATATAGCTTATCTCCACTCATCTTTGAGCAGAAGCACTGAGAGGAAGGAAAATAAAAAACAACACAGAAAAATGAGGAAAAAGAATGCTAGAAGAAGGAACTTATTTCTATATGAGACTATGAGAAGCCATAAAATCATACCTTAAAAGCCCTCAGAAGGAATTTTAAAAACCTAAATGAAGAGTAATAAACATATATTTGATAATTACTTGAACTTACAAGATCAGACAGAAATAGACAGAATAAGATTTCAGATTCTTGGTATTTCAAACACACAAAAAAAAGCTTGAATTACTTTAAAGGAAGTGGCAGAGAAGCAAGAAAAGACCATGGTCAGGTGCCTGTCTCACCCTCATCAATTGCTATGAATCAACGTTTCCCTTCTATCTTTAAACAGAAGGATCCTTCAGCAGAGGCAGGTAGCACCTCTTCTGCCAGTCAGCTGCCCCAGTCAGACGTTCCATATGACTGACAGCTAGGTGGGGGGGGGAGGGGGGTGTCTTAAAAAAAATAAGTATCTATAGATCTTAAAAGAGCTCCCAACCTTTTTCTCGCATTCAGGTATAAGAAACTCCACTTTGTGACAGAACCACATTTAGGCAACTGGCCTTTGGAGACAGCAAGCATAGAACTGACACACAATGGTGCTTAGTCTAAACTCCCTAAAAAAAAAAAAAATCATCGTGTTTGCACTTCTGTTTTACACACAGTCTTTTCCTCAATCATGCAGCAGAAGAGTTGGGAAAATTAAGTTAGCTGTAAAGCACTCAAGTCTCTACTTACAAGCATTTTTTTTTCCTACCTGCATCAACATAAAGATTGCATTTTTCATTTACTATATGTTTTAGGAAGGCAAGAAAAAAACACAACACACTAACGGGAGTATCTCCGGATATTCCTATTTCACAGTCCTCTTAAGATCAACATCTGTAGTGAAGAGAGGAACTGCAAGAGTCCAAGTTTTTACTGTGGTATCAAATTATTTTTTTAATCACCCTGTGAAACAAATCACTGCAACATCATTATTTTGCATTTTAGTTCTATGCTCTTGCTTTAACCATTCAGAAAAGGTCCTAAGAGAAACACAGTGACAAGGTATCCAGGTGCACATTCATGTATCCTCATGTATCCAGAGCCAGCAAGAGCCCGAGCAGCTCTTGGAATCATTATGAAAACCTAGTATTTATACACAATGGTGTCAGACATTGAAAAGGGGCTATTGAAGTCTCAACACAAGAAGCGGATCGTGCTTGAAGTGACATTCAATTCCCATGGATAAATCTCTGACTCCTTTTTAATACAGTTGTCCATTAGAGAGAAACTTGGTTTTTATCACATTAAGAAATTAACACTTCCACACGTGACCCTTGACATCAGTTAACTTGTAGAAATACATGAGCCTATGGAATGAATACGGCACAGAAGGGGCAATGGACACCCCGTTTCTGTTGACACCCCCCAGACTGATCAGGGTACACATTTTCACTTCATCAGCTAACTGGTCAAAGGATTCCTATCCAAGTTAATGGCAAGCATTCTAGTATCTTGTAATACTAAAACTCTTATTATCTAGTAAAGCCAACACCCAACAGCAGAGCTCAAAAATACCAGAGCAAAGCTTTTATTAGTGACAACTGCAACCAATTTTGTTCACAAAGGTTCCCAATTATCACACTGTGCGTCTACTAAAAGTCCTGTTCACAAAGCAGCAAATTAATCTGTGTTCATTAAAAAGTTTCTTAAGAACAAAAGCAACAAGCAGTTATGGGGAAGGGAAAAAAAGAATTCACACGTACTTTCCAGGAACTTGCCCAAGTCAGCTCCTGAAGCAAGAAAATAGAATGAGCAACGAGAAGTTAGACAGAAAAACACAACCAGAATTTTTTCCCCTCCCACCCAAGAAAACAGACACTTAAGAACGACAACAAGAGATAAGCCATTACAGCAGCAAAGCAAGAACATGGAGCTGAAGGTTACTGGGGAAAATGTAAGTTTTATTCCAGAAGTACTACTTGGCAGCATCTCCTTTCAGCCTACTACTTGTACCACTTTAAAGCGCAATTACACAGAACTGAAAAAGCGAAGACTGCTTTGTTGACACTGAAAACTACTTGTCTTGGATCAATACCAAACGTACACAATCCTGATCGATGTTCTCTTCAGCCTGCCAAGGCCTCTGCAGTCAAACACTGCTGGTCATTGCTGCTCCCAACACCCTGCTGCCTGGGGGGTGGGGGGAAGGCTCGAGTGCTCGATGAGCTCCCTCTTTCCTCAGCCTGTGACAGGGCTGGGCGTGCTCGTAGCAGGGCACACAGCGGCTTCAATGCGAGTGCTGCCGGAGCACAGGCCCGCTTCCCCTGGGCTGCGAGAGGACGAGCGAGTTCACAAGGGTCAGTGTGAGGGGAGACAGCGCCGGGGACGCAGGTGCCAGCCCCGGGGGGAGTGAGGAGCCGCGGGCGCCCTGCCGTCGCCTGACAGCCACCGTCCTCCGCTGCCAAGAAGCCGCATGGAGAGGACAAGGCCCACACCCCCAAACAGGGTTAGGCCCAAGCAGCCCCACAAAAGCCCATCGCCAGGAGCGCAGGTGAGCCCCTCCGGACGTGCCCCTCACCGCCAGGCCGGGGCAGCCTCGCCTCCCAGTAGGCCGCGGGGCGCCTCGGGGCTGCGGCATCCGCGGCGGACTAGAGCTGCCGGCAAGGCCGGTGCTCGGCGCGCGGCCTAGGCCCACTCCCACAGGCGGGGAAACGCGGCGGCGATAGCGGCGGGAGCGCAGCGGCAGCGAGGCTGCGAGAGCGGCCGAGACGGTGCCGGGGGCAGGGAGCCGACGGGACGGCGTTACCTGCGCTCCCGGACGGAGAGTCCCTCACGACCACAGCGACTCCTCAGCCCCAACAACACAAGATGGCGGTCGCGCCGCCACGCAACGTCACGTGAGGCAAGGCCCCGCCCATCTGCCTCCGCCGCGGAGAACCCGGATGGGCGACGGTGCTCCTTTTTCTGGTCCCCCCTCACTCCCGGCCCCGCCCGCGTGACGACACCACAGCCGTGCACGCGGCGCGCCTCACTCCCGCGGGAAAGCGGGCGCCCCCAGCCGGAGGTAGTGGCGCGCTGCAGCCTCCCGCTGTGTGCCGGCGGCCGGGTCGGCGCTGACGGCTTCCAGGTGAGATCGGCTGCTCCTCCCGCCCTGCCTCCTCTACCGGAGCAGCGGGTGCCCCCGGGCACCTATATGAGTGCCTCACCCTCCGGCCTCGGCTCAATCCTACCGCTTGCTGCCAAGCGCCTCTGCCGCTGAGGTAAATTACTGCCCCCTGCTGCATCCGCGCTGCAGCAGCGCGCGTCGTCATGGAATCAGAGTGGTTTGGGCGGAAGGGACCTTAAAGCTCACCCAATTCCACCCCTCTGCCACGGGCAGGGACATCTTCCGCTAGAGCAGGGTGCTCCAAGCCCCATAGCAGGAGATAGATATCAGTACAGACAACCTCAGACAGAAGGAATCCCGGCTTACAAGCTGTTTCACTGTCAAAGCTTCCTCCATTCAAAGATCACGACTAGATCCAAGGCACACTGCTGAGGGGTTAGCAGGGGTAGCATAGAGACAAAGAATAGCATACAAGGCTCTCACCTAAATGCATTCCCCTGCTATCATCTTAAATCTACTGTGCATCACTAATGCCATTTAAGCTTTCATATTACCCATGCTAGTGACTTCTCCCAAAAGAAAATTACTGTAGCCTGATTTTGCTCTTCATGGGTTTCTTTCAAGATAGGAGTTAGAGAAATGAAAAACAATATTAATAATAATAATAAAAAAACCCACCCCAACCCCAAACTACCCCCACCAAACCCAATTTAATCACCCAGCTATTAAACTTCCTATTTTGACACAGATCTAGGCCAAACAAGAAACTGCCTGAAATTTTTGCTATACAGGTACACAAATATAAATTAATGCTTTTAATTTCCTATACTTATTCCATTTAGAGACTTCATGGAAAGATTTTGCTTATAACACAAAACCAATTGAAGAGACGTAATGCTTTTTACACTCTGCCCTCTAAGCCATGTCAAAACTTTGGTATCACCATAAAAATGTCTCAAATAGTTTTCCATTTGGTCATGAATTTTGACCCCATTACGGTGATCAAGGAAAGCTTGTATGGAATTTCCTTCAAAAGCCCTTAGCAATGTTGCTTGTTGGTCTTAGTATCAATGCACGTGTAAAGTATAGCACTTTCTAACTTCAGTTCTTCCAGGGTTGGTTGCAATGTCTTTGGTACATGTGCAGGAAGTTCCATAACTATCCACACCTGTAGATAGTATTTTTTAAAGCTCTAAGCAAACACGCACAATACTCCAAGCCCTTTTCTGTACAGTAGATATCTTTCTCAAGGTATAATCTCTCACCTGCAGCCTTACTGTTTCTCTCCCATTAGCTTGCATGTAGGTAACTCAGCTTTCCTGGTGGCACTATAAGGCTATAGGAATCTTCCTTACCTCTGGGAAGCAACCCTGTTTTAAGCACATGCAGCATCCCTGGTGCCAAGGGGGTCAGACCCACTCTCACCCCTGCACCAGAAGAGCCCTGCGGGTATGCTGCTGTGGGATACAGCTGGGAAGGAGGATGCTGACACTGACAGAAAAGGGCATTAGGTGCACATATTTTGACTCAGTTTCCTGATGGGGAAAATGACACGCTCTTTTTCTTTTTTTTTTTTTTTCTAAAAATACTCTTTTATTTTTAGTCCTCAAACCCATATTAGTCTATGATGCAGAACAGCCCCATGTGGCTCCTTCAGCCTAAAAAACTACTCTTGGCTGTTACACGTTATTGAAGTTACAACTATTTTCAACTGAAACAATTTCACTCCAATTGTGATTTCTGCCACAGTCCATGTAGCTTTCTCCCTTTGCTTCTAGGTGAATAAATACTTCTCACTGTGCACTGAACACCAGCCAAAACTGATGCAACAGTGAACACAAGTGATTCTTCTAAGCGAACGGGTTGAAAGCCTAATTCCTGGGGCTTGTTTTTAGCTTAGAACGACACAGGACTACTTCACCCAAAAGTCTTAAGAGTTGAACTCCTCCTTTAGGGAGGCTGGCATGTAAAAGCAAAGCTCCCTTTAGCAAAAGGCTGGCCTCGGATAAGCTGCATGTGATCCCCCTGGCTGTTGTCACACAGCTTGAGGCAATAACTAATAATGGTGTAGGGAGGGAGAGAGGCAGCACTGTCTTTGAAGCTGTCAGTAAGAACTTCTAATTTCCCTGCAGAAATGGCTGCACCTTCTTACTCTACTCACCAAACATGAGTCTGAGGACTCAAAAACGTTTTCACATGTTCTAAGATAAGCTTCCTCTGAGATGGGAGAAGTTTAGCACTTGCGGGAAACTTTTTATGCCAGTTAGCACAAACATTGTATTATTGAGAGAAAAGAAATCAAGAGTGTCTGAAGCATGCCTCATTTGTAGAACTTGGCATTTTTGTAAAATACCTTAAGGAAACTAGGATGAGTTTCTGGGGTTTGGTAATAGCAGGTGCATCTTAAATCCTCCACAACACTCATTCAAACAGAACAGGGAGACTGTCATAAAAGTTTGGTGCTGTACCTGTGGGGGGTAAATTCCTACATGTTGCAATTACAGGACTTCAGCTGATACAATGTAGGAATGAAATACCCCAGCAGCTAGTATGGATACTGAGAACATGATGTACTTCAGAGCCCTGGCTTTCCGTGCCAATTCATCCTCACTGTTAAAACCCCACATACAGGTTAGTGGCATTCCTAACAGACTAAAAAGTTCCTCATTAACCCATTATTTTCACCCACCCTAGCTTGCCTCCTTTACTACAACAGTGGAACTACAAACACAGAGCACAGCCTTGAATTGGTAAATAATGGCATAAAGCAGCCCAGAAGATGTAGCAGTCTGTCATGTTTCCCCTTGTCACCCCCACTTTTTGTTATTTGGAAAAGTGCCTTCTCTGTTTGTCAAAATATCAGGGATTTTGTCTAAGGAGTGTCAGTGTCTTCCCAACAGCCCATTTTTCCATGTCCTCTGGCACATCCCTAAAAATAATAAAAGCAACAGACAAGGCGGGCAGGTGAACATCCAACTGTAGGTTTCTCAAGTCAGTCACTTCCAACACATCCATCACCCTCAGATGGCTTAAAAGACAGACTACTGCAAACACACTGCTCGTTCTGCAACACAATTATTTTAAGATCTTTCCCACATGTGACAAGCTGAGTTTGAAATGCAACAATAAAGCACTTCAGTTACTCCAGTCCATCTTGGAAGGAATTTATTTGGATGCTCCCATAAGGTTAAAATATGATTTGTCACCTTAATCCTCACAGATAAACCCTGAACCCTAAGCCAGGAAGAACCTGATTGTACTGTCTCCCTTTCTTTCTTGACTGTGTTTACACTGTGGTTTTTAGGCAACAGACACTGTCCCCTGAAGCCAACAATGCCTATGACAGAAGTGTCATTGAAAAACACACTGTAATCTGTGTATCCACACAGGCTAAAGCCATCCTCAGTGCTGGCTGAAGTGCTAGTGACTTCTCTACTGTACATCTTCTACTCTGGGAAACTTTAAACAAAAACCCTCGAGGGATCAATGGCCATCTGGAGTTCCCATTCTAGGAGATGAGTGACTTGAGGCAAGTCTTTTTCTCTTCAGGGAAAGACCCAAAAGCACAACAGGCTTCTAATCAGCCTTCTCTACTTAGCGCCACTTGGGGCATGTCAGGAATGCCAGACCAGTATTGATGCACCAGCAGGTATCAGTAAAGAGTTAGGATTGCCACGACCCTTAAGAACCACCTGTGGTGATATCAGGCATGAAAGGTCAGAGGATCAGGGATCGTATATGCTAATTATAGGTAAATACAATTAAGTATTGTCAGGCAGTAAGTATTAGATGGGAGGTTTGCTAAGCAATTTAAGTACTTTTGCATAACCTAATGACATTGTTATTCAATCCAATAATTGCCAGCAAACCCAAGCAATTTAGAATGCAATTAATTTCCCAATGTCAATTTTTGCAAAGCTAAATTCAAAATAAATGCACACCCAAAAGCACATACTGTTCATTGCACTGAATGAAGGCTGCAGCTAACAGCACCTATTGGAGCTAAATACAACTACCACACTTTGCTCATTTCCTTATTCAGCTGGAGTTGACTGACATCTATTAGAACAAAACCACTGCATGCCCTTTTCCCACCCTCTCCTCCTGCTCCTCACGCAGCTGCACATGCAAAGCAGGAGTGAGCAGTGGAAAGAAAATAAAAAGCTGCAGTGTTGCAGTTTTCCTTGAAAGCAGAGACTAAGGAGCCTTCATCCTGATTTTAACTCACCTCCAAGACCCAATAGCCCACAGCCACACAGCATCAACTGCTGACAATGCACAGAGTAGGAGTCACACTGGATAAATTATTCACATCTTCCATTTCACCACTGGACTATACCTGAAACGATGCATTGTTAAACCTCCTTCTGAGCACACCCTCTTTTTCCCAAATTGACCATGCCAGTGGTCAGTGGTTAGCACATCAGCAAGAGTAGGAACAAGATGCTTGCACCCATTTTCAGATGTCCATGTATTCCCTCCCTCATTTCTATAAATGCAGGAGGAGGAAATGCTAAGAGAAACGTAGCTGAAGCAATCTGCCTAGATCCCAGCTGGGGCACTACCACAGCTGAGACAGTGGCTATTTTAAGATAATGGAAGGCTGAAAACCTTCAGATGTCAGCATTTAGCAGTGGACAGTATTTCAAATATTTAAACAGGTATGTCCCTTTCTGAGGAATTGCAAACATTAAGGCTTTTTACACCAGAACTGCTGCACAGAAGGGGAAGTTCTATTGAGCATCTGCCTGAGAATACTTTCAATATTCATCAAAGTCAAGACACAGAGTTTTGACGATCACTACTGTAATTTGTGAACAAAATGGTATAGCCAGGAACCTAAGATAAACCACAGACAAGACAGAAGATAACAATGCTTTATTTGTACATTTCAGCAACAGGAGAAATAATTGAAAGATGAAATTATCTGCTTTGTTGTAAAGTATAAAAACATTTAATTATAAATATTTAGCTAAAAAAGCGTGATTTATAAAATATAATCTGTGAAGATATATATACACAGTTTAATTGTTTAGCAATTCTTTCACCTGACATTAAAGAGTAGAGGTTTTTTCTATTTATTATTCCATGCTCACAGTTTAGTGCTCACAGTTTAAGAAGCAAAACAGACAAATGAAAACCCAACTGGTGAGTTTCATTCTGGAAAGAAAAGAAGCACAATGTGGGGCAATAGCAGAGGCAAAATTTGAGCAAACCCATGTTTCAAGAGAGGTCTCAGAGGGAACACAGCTCCCCTGACCTACAGTGTATGTATCCAGATGAGCAGTGGGCATTTTAACATTTGTGGACAAGTTTCCTGTGTTTGCAGAAGAAAATGGCTAATAGTATAGTGCAAGCCCTCTGATTTCAGTTCAGCTAAATGGGCTCACCTTGCTGCTCTCTCCTTCTCCAGCAGGGATTGCTCAGTATGCTGGGCTGGTGGTATGTCATGGCTCTAATGAAATCACAAACAATGTCACCTTCATGATTCAGGATTTCCAAATACAAAACCCCATTGTGCCATCCGATTGCATTGTCCAGCTGGCAATATCCCTTAAAAACAGACACAGCTGCCTAAGGCTGGAAAATACAGTGAAGCTGTACAGTACACTAAATGTGATGGAATGTGAAAGAAGATACATGGTCAGGCAATTCAGTTTTCTATTCCTCATTTAAGACAGAGCCAGCTTCCTCCCTTCAAAGTCTGGGGAATTCTTGCCTCTTATAGAAAGGTTTGTTACTATGGCACTTCAGAGAAGAAAAACTGGAAGACTCTACAACATGGTGCATGGCAGAAAACACTACAGGAAACAGTAACTAATCTGATCCATGTCCCTAGTAACTATCTTTCTCTCTTCACAGTGTTTTCACAGTGCCTGTGGCACAGGGCTTTGAGAAAGAAAAGGGTGACAACACCCAACAGCAGTACAAACGTACAGGAAGTCAAGCTGTAATTCGTACACCCTGATTTACACAAGACCTCACTACTTGCCTGCAAGCAAGGAATTAATTAATATGGTGTTAAGAGAAAAAGAATGTATAGAAAAGAAGGAAAGAATAAAGTAGGTAAGCATGACACTTGTTAGTGCTCACCTATAATTTGCTACCTGCTGTCTCTGCTTCAGGGTGATGTACTCCTGACAGTTCAGAGCACAACCGCATGTATACAGCTCTTAGGATTCACATTGTTATGAATGCATAGTAACTGCAAGAACTGTGCCCTTATACTCAGGAGGATCTTCAGGAGAGGAAGGCTAGCAAAGCTGTAACGAGTTTTAGGCAGGATCCAGGCAGTTCTCTCCAGGTAGAGCCCTGATTTGGGAAACATACCAAGTCATGTGCAATCTCAGAGTGCATATTGGCTGGCCGGTTACTGGGTAAATGCAGACTTTAACTCCCTGAAAGCTGCTCGGCGGTGTTTTCTCTCTTCTTCTTCCCGCTTTCGCTCATCCTGCTCAGCTTTTATCTCTGCTTCAAACTTACTGGCTGAAGAGAGGGCTTGAACCTTTATGAGAAAGAGAAAATAAAAGCATGTCATGCCTTGCAGAGGGAGAGCCAGAGTCTAAACTACTCCCAGATGAGCAATGGAGAACTGTTTGCTGTGTCACCCAGTGCTCTGCCAGGGTGGCTCAAGTATTAATTACACTGCAATGCCTGGGTATTTACATGCAGTACCTGTTAGCTTGCTTGACTTAAACATCAAAAAAAGAAAGTTCGTTTACTAGTAAGTCACTAACAAGTGACCAAAACTATCAGTACTGGGTCACACACATTCTTTCTGTAGGCAGGCAGCATAGCATAAGTTGTGAGCGTACGGTGGGAGAAACTACTGCAGAAGACAGTTCTGAATGACAGCCAAATCTGAGAACATCATACTACACCATGGATAATCTGCAGATCAAAGAGACATTGTTTATTTGCTGGCTATTTTTCCAGCTTTCATCTCAGTACATCTGCTGGGCAAGAGCTGTGCTATGCTCTTGGGAAAAAAAAAACTTCTTGTATAAACAAGCAGGATTATTTTCTCTCCAAGAGAGCTTTCAAAAAGGGTGCTTTGTCAGATCTGAATGGTGCAAAGCTCTTTCTGCCAACCCCAGGACCCTGTAGAATAATTCTGATTCCAAAGGTTAGAGAGCTGCTTGAGAAAGAGATGTCTGAAATCTTATACTCCAAAACACTCCATTCACCACTGAACTCAGAGTGTTCTGGCTGAGGGAGGTTTTGCAAGATGCGAAACACTGTCCCTATTGCATTAGTTTCCAGGATACTTTTGTCTTTAAAAGCAGTCAGACAGCTTCTCCCATAGAGCTCACAGCCACAGGGACACAGGTTGGCCAGTCCCTGTGGCTGGCCCTGCAAGACCCAAACCAGAGGTGGTGAATTAAGCTGTTGTAGCATTGACAGATCTGCAGAAGGATGTAGACAGAGTCCAACAAAGTTTGAGGGGAAAAGCTATAGCTGAGGTTGGGGTGAGAGGATGAAATATGCATCCTTTTAGCTAGGAAGTAACACTAGGCATATCTTCTATTCAAAAGCAAGGAGGATCAGTGTCTCAGTGGCAGTTAAGGCCTGCATACAGAGCTTTTTTATGTTTCTCTGTGCCACACCATACCTTAGCTTCAAAGAAGTTCTTGGCTCCTTTGACTCCCTCAATGGAGACATTTATCTCCGAAAGCTTCGCAAGAGTCAACAGGCCGCTGTCCTCCTCGAGCTCCCCAGCTGCAGCTTTATGGAAAATCAGCAGGAACTAGCAATACAGACAGAAAACACTCAAGCTCTTCACTGAGGCTCAAACAAAACACAAACAGCACAGACGTTCACCTGCAGGGGGCTGGAATTTACATTTCTGAGCAAAGGAATCCAGGTCTATACAAACCAAGAGGTGCCATGGACCTTGTACCCAGCTTTAGTGCACAGCCCTGTCAGACTAAAAGAAGTAGGAATCCCATAAGAAAACAGGGTTTCCTGGTGAAGCACAGCTCCTACTGAGCCTGGGCTGCTACGTGGCCAGAGGAAGGACATCACCCGCTTAGTACAACCATGTGGTAGGCTCAGATATACTGTTATGTCCCCCCCACCCTATTGATGTGTGCACAAGCCCCTCATCAGCTTTCCCAGTGTTCAGGGAATTCAAATGATATCCCATGACACAGAAAGCTGGGCAAATATGGCCCTGGCTCACAGATGAACCCCAGGCTCCCTTTACAGAGGCACCAGTGCACTCCAGTGAGAGAGAACAGCAGCCTAAGCATGGGCATACCATTGTGATGGAGTGGCTTGACAACTGCACACAGAGCAACTTGTTTAGAAACTTCTGTTCTGCACTGGACCACAGACATTTAAATCCAGAACCCCTACAACAGAGTGCATATTGGCATGTGAACTGCACTGGGAAACAAATGAGGAAAGTACACTTTATTTTACAGAAAGGATGCAAAGATCTGCCTGCTTAAAAATAAAGACCTCTGCACCACTTACTACCTGCTAACCGAGATCCAGGTTAAGACAGGGATGCTCTATGCATCATTTGTCCTGTAACTGCCAGCTCTTCTTAGCCACCCAAGGTGTCTCAGTCCTTGGAACAGTGTGGAAAGAACAGAGACCAGGACAAGTCACCCAGGTTCAAAGGCAGCACAAAGCCGCACTGCTTTAGTCCAGGGCAGAGGGCTGCACATATCACACTGAGCTGCCCACAAATCATGAAACTGCACAGGAACATCAAACACCTCTAGTGCTGTGCTCCTCAGGCTGCCAGGCTGGGGACTTGGCCTCTTCCTACAGAGAGTCTCAGCTGTCCCAGAGGAGGGCAGCAGAGTCCCAGCATCTGCTTGCCTGCTAGAATGATGCTGGAGAGGGTCTCTTCATCAGGGACTGTAGTGATAGGACAAGGGGTGATAAGCTCACACTTCCAATAGGGGAGATCTGGGTTAGATATAAAGAAATTCTTCTCTGTGAGAGTGGTGAGGCACTGGAACAAACTGCCCATAGAAGTGAATTCTTCATCCTTGGCAGTGTTCAAGACCAGGTTGGATGGTGCTTGGAACAACCTGGTCTAGTGCGAGGTGTCCCTGCGCAAGGCAGGGGCTTGGAACTGGATGGTCTT